ATGTAGATTAATAATATTTATTAAAAATACCCGATCTCTGAGATAATATTAATTCGAATAAAAAAAAATCTTTCAATTTTGGTTTCGTTCAATCGAACGTTCTCATGAATGTCCAAATAAATTATAACCGACGCGAAAAAGAAAGGATAGAATAGAAAAGAAAAGAAAAGTCGGACGAACACTTGGTAAAGTAACAAATGATGATCGATGGAAGAAAAATTTGGAAAAGGAACAAAAAAAGAAAAAAAATATAAAAAGAAAAGTGTTGAGCCCCGTTTACGTCGATCTTTCGCGCTAGACAAATTCTGAGGGTGTTTTCCAACATCCGGCGCAACAGGGTAGAGCACTCTTCAAGGTGTCCTTGAAGGCCTCACGAAAGTCACGGTTGAAGTAGGCGTAGATCAACGGATTTAGGGCACTGTTGAAATAACCTATCCAGAATAAAACAGATACCACGGTATCCGGACAGTAACAGGCCTCACCGCAAAGTGTCGTAGTTAGATACCTGAAACAAACATTTATTTTTTATAATTATTATCTATTCCACCCTTATTTTTGTGATATATAGAAATAATAAGGATTTAGTTAAATAATAAAAAATATGGTTATACTTCAACACATAGAAGATACAAGTATATATATATAGTCGTTTGCATTTATCATATACGACACGTTTATAATGTATCACGTATAACCACAAAATTATTTTTATATAATTAAAAAATACATAATCCTATTTTAAAAATAAAAACAATATTATATCTAATTTTCTCGAATAATAAAGATTACACCTTTTTTTTTGTTTTTTTTATTCTCGGTTTTATTTAAATTATTTTTACGCGAACTCTCTTATGTGTTACAATTATTATACTACAAATATATTTTGTTTTTACGTTAATTTATACGTGAGATTTTGATTTATAAGATTAAAATTAGCTAAGTTTCGTATACGCTAACCACAAAAAATTGAACTTAAGTATTAAAAAACAAAAAATAAGAGAAAGGAAAGAAGAAAAGTATAGTAAGATACTGAAGGATAATAAGTAGCTCTTTGTATGCAAATTTACGCTACCCGAACTAAGATCCAAGATGGGAGAGATCTTCGCGTTTGTTCGTTCGTTCGTTCGATTTTTTTTTCCTTTTTTTTTTTCTCTCTATTTTTTTTCTTCTCTTTTTTTTTACCAAGGAAAACAGTTTTCTATGTGATTACGCACGATATACTTCGTAACTCGAGGAAAATTATTTGCATATATGAACATCCCCTTACTCTTTCTATTTTTCTTTTCTTGGTTTTTTTTTTTTTTTCTATATATTTCCAACTACCGTAGACCAATGCATTTCAAATTTGCCTTTCTTTTTTATTATAAATTTAAAAAAAAAAAAAAATAAAATATCGTACGCGCCTTTGCATCCCGTGACTGACATTTAATCTTTCAACTATACGGTTATTCTAACTAAACTAATGTAATTGGAAAATTCTCTTACGAAAAATTTCACTGTAAAAATTTTTCGATCTATTTTTTTTTTTTTTTTATTTCACAATTCAATCAAAAATATTCCCTCTCTCTATTCCAATAAAAAAAAAAAAAGAAAATTGTATAAATTAAACTCGTATTTCACAGGAATATTTAAAAAAAAAAAGAAAAACGTCGGTCATTTCGGTTCGTTGTAAATTACATTAAAAGAAAGATACAAAAAATCTTGTTTCAAATGAAAATTACGAATAGATGCGAATGAGAATTAAGGAAAAATTCAAAACGTTTATAATTACGAAATGACTAAATAAATACTACAATAAATACTAAATATAAAAATATTGTACTATATTTTTAGATATTAGTAGAACTATTATATATATATAAGGATTATTTACAACGTACCTACAAAGTTTTGGTCGTTTAGAGTTACATCGTTTCGCGTTGATGTTAATTAAAACGATGTCGGGGGTTCGAACGGGACTAATTTGCGTCATATATTTTAGCAATACTACGAAATGTCCTTGCGCTAGAGTCTGTAAATATACGCGTAAATGTATTTATGCTTTGAATTTCGCGCCTAAATAACATACCAGTTAATTTATGTCCTATTTCAATGTGTTTAGAATATTTCCCAGTGACATTCGTTCGCGTTTTGTGTCGGGGGAGAATAGTACCCGGTGTTTTTATTAGAATTAATTAACGAGTTTAGGAAATAAACGTTTTAGGAAATTAATTTGGGAAAGCATTAGGATAATTTAATGCTTGCGAAATAATTCATTTCGATATTATGGTTTATTAAATTAAATAATTTCAACGTATTTATATTTGTCCTATCAATTGATTTATATAATCATGTATTTGTGTATATACGTATGTATGTATGTGTGTATACTATACATAAGTGTATTTATATGAAATGTCGAAAATAGAGTTAGAGTTCAGAACCATACAAAATTCAGGAAATTACTATCGAGCGAGAGTAACCTAACACGAACTCTATTTCTATTCTATTTTGATCGAACGTTCAACGTTTCTACTTCCCTACAAAGTATATACATTGATTTAATCTATGATAAAAGTTTATCATTTATACGAGCATTATTAAATATGTAGATGAATTAATTGGAAGAATATTTGATTTATATAACTTTTATATATACAAAAATACACCCACGAATCTTTATTATAAATTATTTAAAAATAAAAGAGATAAAATCTATGAGAAATGAAATAT